AAAAAAAAAAAAAAAAAAAAAAAAAAAAAAAAAATCCAGCAAGCAGTGATGTATTGTCAGAAGGTTTGTCGGCTCAAGATAGATACGTTGAGTTTATAGAAACTGGGGCCGTGGTCCGGTTTCCTTCGAAATGACAGGACCACCGTGCACATCTTGTGGTCGAGGCACGGGTAAGGGCTGACCAGGAGTATTGCTGCGATTAGCAGCGCTTCGGCCAACTCCTCCGAGAGGAGGATTAAATCAATCCTAGATCTCGATTGGCCTTCGGTCCCGTGATTACGTAAACAAGAGTAATATCTTGTTTCCGGGTTGAGTCTCTGGAAAGAATCGAAGATATTGAGCGAAAGACGTAATTCTCTGATCATATGGTCATCCTCTTCTATATACGTCGGAGCGGGGGAAGGGATCTTCCATCTATCCATCCATGGGTCCGGGGCTGCGTTATAGTCCCCCGCTATAATGATGGGAACGTCGTTTGAAATCTGCGTTCTGATTTGCTAAAAAAAGATTCTCCTTTCACTTACCATATTAGGAGCATACACACACAAAGTACATACGATCTCCAGCTCCAAGGTGACTAGGATTGACACCCATCTGCCTCCTTCCTGGTCCGCCACTCAGTGAACCGGGTCGGCCCGGGAGTCGGGGGGGATCCAAATGGCCACGCCTGCACTCCCAGGTTTCGGGGCGTGGGCCCTAAAGGCCTTGTATGGCCAGATCATTTTGTGTATGTGGTTGTATTCCGGAGTATCCATCAGATGAGTTTCCTGAATGCACACGACATCCGGCCAGTCCCTGCCCCCCACGCCTCTCATCAAATCCCATACTGCATTTCTTTTGTCTGTTTTGCAAGAGGCCAGTCCGTTCACATTCAGAGACCGCAGGTCCAGGTCCGCCGCTCGGCGGCATTGGTTCCAAATGTGGTCCTTCCCATAGACTGCTTTGACCGGGTTCATTTCGTTCATAGTCTAGTCCACGATGCTTGTTCTAAATCCCAATCTGTGGTGCCCATTCGAAGGCCCAGTCTGAGAAGGGTACATAGGCATTTCTGAACATCCTGCTTTGTCCATAATGTACTGGATCTAATTTTGGTTGTCTGCAGGTCCAGCAGTTGCGTCAGCGTATACCAATCGAGGCCTGCCTCTTTGGCCGGGTCGTAGCGGATAAAAATGTCTCTTTGCGAGATACTGTCAGTGTCCGCTGTCCGCGCCGCTATAGCTTTGCCCCTGGTGGCATGGATTCAGCAATGTGCGATTCAAGTTGTAATTGCAGGATCCCATTTACCGCCTCCGACTGGCCCTGTCGTGTAGTTGCCCAAAAAGAAGACCAGCCCTGTATCGTTACCCCCCTTGCTTTGCCCTCCTCGACTGGTATCAGACCAAACTCCCATTTGCCGGTTCTCTTTCGGACTGGAAGCAGCCACATTGCTGCCTGCGATAGGGGTTGTGTATCCTGGCCCATCTCAATCACATGCCTCAGTTTTTTCTTTCGCACCAAATCCAGTGGCATATTCTCGTCCGGGTCCGGCGGGTCTGGCTCCGGCGGGGAGTCCCGCGGCTGAAGGGCTGAAATTTGCGCAGTCTGTGCTGCATTTGCCTGGTCGTTCGTCGCTGCAGTTTGCATTCCGCCTTGCCTCTCTTGGTCACTCGTCATTGCGGTCTGCATTCCGCCTTGCCTCTCTTCCTCCATTGTGGTCGGATGTGGAGGGAGAAACCTTGCAGAAACTATTGTGGCTACTCTGTGCCATACCTCTGTCCAGCTGACCCCGGGTTGCAGTCCATTTTGCGGGACATTTAAGAGTGAGGTACTTTTGTCAAGCATGGGGAAGAGCTCCAGGTACGTTTGGTCCCATAATTCATCAGTGAGAGGGCCGTATTTTGCCTTTAGGTTGGCCATCAGCCAACCCGCAACCAACTTCTGTTCCGGGGGGAGCTGCGCTGGCGGGGCTCCTTCCTCGTCGGCCCCTTCATTGGGTAATTCCCCGGGCACGGTGGCTAAGTTTACCGGGAGAGGGTCGACCTCCATTGGCTCAAGGCCGAAGGCTGCTTGGAGGGGGTCGGCCTCCTGCATCTGATTCTGCCTCCCCTCATCCTCGGACTCGTCCTTTACTGTCTCCATCTCCATTTGCTCCCCTTTCTCCTGCCCTACCACCCATCCCCCTCCGCTCCCCTCCTTTTCCATTAACCCTCTTTCCTTTGCCATCTCTGTTCCCTCTCCTCCCGTCTGCCCTCCCATCAATCTCTCCTCACTTTCTGAGACCCTGGTCTGCTCTCTCGTGTTCCCCCCCCCCCTTCCTCCAACCGCCTCCTCGTTGTCCATTCCTTCCTTTCCTCCCTTTTTTTCCTGCTGCGGGGACTCCTCCTGGAGGTAGTGTATTGCCGACGGGCCAGGGGTTGCTCCACAGGACATCCCACCTTTATCCTCTTCCGCCGACTCTGATCTGAGATCCGCTGGTCGTTTTCGGATCCAGGTCCCTTTCCCACCTTTTTTTCCCACACTCCTCCAGTTTGTTTCGTCAAGTATTTGTTTTTTTGGGGACTGTTTTACTCCCTGCACCTTCCCGCACACCTTCTCCTCCACCGGAGCCCGGGGCACCCATGCGTCCGGAGGGCGTGTCCCCCATTCTGGTTCTCCCGCTCTCTCCCATGTCCATCCCACGGGGGAACCCTCTTTTATTCGGTCCTCCACAAAAACCCACCCTTCGTGGGCCGGATCCACTGTATGCCAATGGGTTATTTTTGTCGGGTCCCTTAACAACTCCCCTGTTGCTCGCTCCCTTTTTCGCGGGTGCAGTGGGCAGTCATATTTTGTACTTATTTCTCCTTCTTTCTCACTTCTGACCTGTTGTTCTCTTCTCTGCTCTTCCTTCCCTTCTTCTACCCCTCCTACCTCGCTGCATTCCCCCTCCCACCCCCAGTCCAGGCTCCCTTCCGTCTATCCCTGTTCCCCATGGGTTTGCCCTCTTGCTTCTGACCCTCCCTGTTGATCATCCCCTGCCCTTTGCTCCCCAGGTCCTTTCTCCCTCCCTTCCTTGCCCTCCCCCTCCTTCCTCAAACTACTGCCCAATTCCACCTTCTTCCCTAACCTTTTTGTCGCCCCCCCATCCCCCTCTTCCATCCTTCCCGCCCTGCTCTCTTCCACCATCCTCCCTTGCTTCCTGCTACTTCCCCCCTCTCAATTGTCACCCCCCTCGCCTTCAGATTTTTTATTCCTCTCTTCGTGGCTCGTTCCCCCCTGATCAACTTCCTTTCACTTTGGTGGCACCTCCGCACGCGTATCCTCGTCTGGTTTTGGTCCCCCACGTTCCTCCGGCAACTTCGTCTTAATGCGCCGCGAGTGCCCTCTCGTCTTGTCCGTTTGCATGGGGTTGTCTTCTCAACCGTCCCATGAAACGTTTCGCCGGTAGCCCCCCCATCCCTCGCCCTCCTTCGCCGTGGTTGCATTCTTGTCGGCCCGGCTGCCACTCCCCATTCCCGTGCTGCTGCTGTCATCGCCTCAAACAGTAGTATATCCACTTGGAGCTCGAGGTCGTGCCAGGCTCTTCTCTCAACCTGTGGGTCAGATAGCAGAATGGGGTCCATAGTGCTCCTAACCTCCCTATCATGGAGCTCTTGCCGTGTTTCAGTTTGCAATACGCATCTTCCATGCAACCCAATGTAGCCGTGCATAAAATAGACCATGCAAAAGAGTTTTTCACTCGTGATGGCCCAAACCTCCTCAAAGTTGTATGGTCCTGTGGCCACCGCCACGCTGTTCTCCAAGGGATTCCTCATCGGGCTGTCAATGACGTATCTTGCATACTCTGGTTCTTTGTCGTCCACCATCTGCTCGCTCACTATCCGACCAAAGAAATATTCCACTGCCCCCGCGTCCACATCGCCGCCAGGGGCGATGGCTTGTATACTTTCACCCATGGCCATCGTTTCCGTTCTGCCATTTTTGCTGCCAGCATCTCTGTCTGTGATTTCCATGGCTGCAACATAACTTGGCCGTGCACCCCCGCCAAGTTCAGCTCCTCCGCTCTTCTTTAATTTATCAGCCAATCCCTCACCTCCACAGTCGGTGCCAAGTACGTGACGATTGTGTCTCCCTCTGTGTCTATCTCCCCCCGGCCCAGCCCTCTTCCCAACATCCATGTCTCTTCCAGATGGCATGTCCATTATCGCTTGGTCTTGCGCGACCAGTTACATGCCCCCTCCAGCAACTTGCAGGCCACCACATGCGCTCTGGCATACATATTCTGCAGATAGATGACCTCGTTGGTGGGTCTCGCCATGCACACCCCGTTGAACACTGCATACCCCACCAGGCCCAGTCCTCCGATCGGTCGATGCATCAAGTACGTCCTCCTCAACATCTGCATGAGGGTCCATCTCTCCTATCGAAGACCCTTTATCTGTTACCTCTCCTCCTCCCTTCAGTCAGTGTCATTCTTCCCTATTCGACGCGTGCTCCTTGCTTCCACCCCCCTCCCTGTATCGGTTCACTGCGTAACTAGTACGGCCAAAGACTTTGCCAGGTTTGCATCCACTAGCCGCCTCTTCTCCCACGCTTACCGGAGGTATCCCTTGCTGAGCGTTTTCGTGAAGACTTCCTCGCTTCCACGCGAATCCGACTAGACCCCAGGCTATCGTACAACTCACCGTTTTTTCTTCAGCCTTTCAGTACAACTGGAGGAACTCTTGGAGAGATCTTCTCTTTCCACCCGTGTGGTTCCTTCCGTGATTGGCCGCCCTCCCAGCTCGATTTTTCTTACTTTCCCCACTAATTCCTACTCCCCTAGCTCCCACTTCTCTCTCGACCTGTCCTTCTAGCCACTTCCTTCCTTAGGCGTCGTTCCGCACGCCCCCTACCATGTTGCCCGTGGCTCTCCGCATCAGGCTATACCCTTCCTCGGTCGCCACGCCCTTGCAAGCCTCCGGAGCATGTCGCTGGCACTCAGGCGAGATACCCAGCCATCGCCAGCCGTCATTCACCTCATTTGATTGTTGACGTCCACTTTTCCCCCGTCTGCCGGTGTTAGGTCAAAAAGAGGGAAAACAATTTACGCCGCAGGCTGCCTCACAGTCGAAAAAACCCTACCTGCTACCCACGTTCCCGTCATTTTGAGTGCACTAATTTCAACGCAGAAATTAGCCTTTAGGCCCTTTACCTTTCTCTTTTGTTTATGTCATCCTCCTTTTTTTTTGTCCTTGCGTAGGGGCCATGCTAATAGTCTCTGTATCATTCCAATTTTAAACCACCTGTAATGACCCGTCAAAACACAGACTGAGAACACTGCTGATTTCTGAAGTTCTGCCGATGGAATGGATGCCTTGATGAGATTCCCGCATTCTGCTGTGTTTTCTAAGTCTGTCTGTGTGTGTGTGCTTGTGACCTGCGTGCCTGTGTGAGTGCTTGTCGGTATGAGTGTGTGTGACCCGCAAGGGTACTTGCTTGTTTGGTAGGCCTGTAGGGCCGGTACTTACCTGTGGCCATGGCATTGAGGGTTGTAGCAGGGAAAAACACTCAAGTGGCGAAGCTAGCGGCCCTGAGGCCTTTGGGGTAGCGGAAAAACACTCAAGTAGGCCGGTAGGCGGATACTGCACCCCACTGCAGTTGGCGTGAGGGGTACTGGAGGCCGAGCAGAAAAAGACAAAGTTGGCATTTTTAGAGTCCAGTAGCGGTAGGGTAGGTCTAGGCCGGTACCAGTCCAACCAGTCTTAGTCTAGAGCCTGTATGGGTAATATCAGGGTCTGCAATGATGTTTCCCTCCGAAACGGAGGAAGTACCGGTTGCTTGGAGAGGCCGAGCGGCCTGAAAGTCACTGGCCAGGAGGCAAGTAGGCCACTATATCAAGAGGCAGGGCGGAGAGCCCAACCTCATTCTTCAGTGTGCGAGTTGGGTGTCACGCTGCTGGAGCGCTGGCTGGAGTAGCGCTGGGCACTACAGCGCTGCTGGGAGGAAGAAGCCGGGAGCTTCCACCTTGGCTATGGTGGAGCTCTACCGGTAGGAGGAGGAGGGAGAAGGGGACCAAGGAGGAGAGTGGCGGGGTACTTACCAGCTATGGTAGACACCATCTTCATCTCCTTGCTAGGCGCTGCATCAGGAAGGCCCCAGTGGGGGTAGTGCCACATCAAGGAAGCTCGGACAGAGTC